ATGTGTGCGTATATACGCATGTATTTGTGAATGGATGTATCTTTGAATGCCTGCGTGTAAGTAATAAATGTTAAAAATAATACAAGGTAAAAAAGCTGAGGCCAGATAAATACATACTAAACAGGATATATATATATATATATATATATGCATAACTTGTTTACTCAACCTTTATTATTATCATCCTATTATTATATTAATAGTTTAAATGAACCAAAACGAATTTGTAAAGGCGTTTAATGCAATTAAAAATGAAGACGCAAGAGCATGAAGGAGACGTCTAACCTGCCATATAAGCTTTGGCAAACCAAGTCGGCAGCTTTCTTATCGAATCCCCTCGAGCAGACCTCTCCCCAAGTGTCGTTGTACGATGCTTGTAGGTGTCCATTTTGTGGATGCGCGTTGCCGACCAATCGCAGTGCAAAGGGTTTATGGTTGTCTGTGAAAAATGGCGAAAATGGTGAAATGCATTTGTTGGGTGTCAAGTGGAGGTTTCCTAAAAGTGAAGAAGTGCCATAAGATAGCAAATATAATTCTTGAGATGTGTTTACTCTATTTCGTCTAAGGTCGTGACAGACTGGTAGTTGAATTTTCCCACAATCGTATGAATATTTTGATCAAAGAATGGGCTTCACTTGTCTCTTTGATGAGTTGTTGTGAGGTGCTAAGACTGGCGTAACTCACTGACGATGCCGGCGAATCGTCTGGGAATGTACCACGTCCACGGTCCTACTCTGTAAATGATAATGCATACAATGGACTCCGGACGATGTGCATTCATCTAAGTCTTCCTACCAATTTGACTAAGTTGCCAAAAGGTCAGACAACTTCTATACAACGAAAGGAGACTGCGACCACACAAAAGGCCACACCATCTTGGTCTTCATACCTTCCATATGAATAGAATAGAATATCCCATGGCTTTGTTTTCTACAAATGTGTCCTTGGGGCTATCTGATAGGCTAATAGTTTCGAAGACCTACTTAATGGGAAAAGGTAAAATTCTTGGTGAATCAGCTTCACATCCTTGTTGAGACCGTTTCTGCGGTGACTGTTTATCGGATCAAAGCTGCTGATTCGCGTCCAGATGAGGTTGGTTCCGTCACCTTTCGAGAGGGCTCTGGATCGGGGCGAATTAAGGCCCTCTCGGCCTCCAAATGAACCGAATGATCGACATTTTGTTCAGACCAATTCGACTGACTCAACCCACCGACCCGCCAAATGTACAACTCACAGTTTAGAAGATGTTTCAGGCACAGAGAACATGAGTCGGTGTCCACTGCTTTGGCCTCGAAGTCTGACTTGGTCTTCCAAATGCGACCAAGCCCCAGGTCTTGTGGGGGCCATCTGGAATGCGAAATTATGTCATTTGGTACTTTAGGCGAGAGATGGTGTAATAGCCGCTAATGACCTTGACGAGTTACCCAGAAACCAGGAAATTTAGTTATTTTAAGAGTCGG